ATGTCCATCGGACCAATCAGATTCTGTCCTGGCGCGAGTAGCGACACAAGTGGCTTGTGTCTCAACGGCTAGCTTGTCAGAATCTTAGCCGGACCCCAGCTTCAAATTTTAAATTTTTGATTGATTGATTGCTAGTTTGCGTACACCGCGTTCCCTGCGTGTAGACGGGTCGATAACCTGCCATGAGCGCGGCCCGCTGGCTGGCTGCTCCTAACATCGTGTCCTAACCCTAACATAAAACTAAACTAAAAACTTACTTTTAGCCCCATTCATTGCCTAGACCTAAGCTCTACAGTTAAAAGGAACCCAAACCTCATCTCCGACGCTAAACTCAATTCTGACCTTAACCCTAGGATTAAACCTCAGCCTAAAATTAACCCCAACACTCACCTTAATCCTCAACCTAATTAAGCTGAAATTTAGCGCAAAGGCGCATGTATTGTTGGCGGTTCCTGTTCCCATATCTTGTGTATGTGACTATATACTTCACTCTTACCGGTTTCGTCTAACGTCTTTAGTCCTTAGCTCACTTTATATTTGCCGCGTATGGAGCGTTAACCTGCCTTTTTGTTCCCTCCTTCAAAGTTCGTATGCTTTTTAACAAACGAGATCGTATCTTGGACTAGGAGTTTTTACGAAATTGAACCTTTGAGCTAGAGTCTGTGGCGAACGGCCAACAAGCGCTGTCTCCTTCCTCGTTAAATGCCCGCGGCCCCCAATGTCATCCGTCTTTGCAGGCGGCTGTTCCTACTCACTGACCTGAAGGCCACTTGACCGATATTCGATCGCGCACACGCGTGCCCAACTAGTCGCATTTTCTCAAGGGCCACTTCAACATGCCACTCCACGGCCACACGGCAGCGGGCCTCTACAGTCGACACCCCCTTCAGGCAAATGCAACACACAAATGGCAAACCACTTGAACTCGCTTCATTTAAAAGCAGCTGGCTTCCACAGGGCTGGTGTTGACTGCCCCAAGAGTGCTACCTGATTAAGTCGTGTGTATTTGAACTATTTGGCT